GTGCATTTAGTGGGATATCCGAGGCGTGATCTATTTTGAGCTCTTGCCAGCTGGAGAAACGATCACTGCCAACAAGTATTGTCAGCAATTGGTCGAATTGAAGAAAGCAATTGATGAAAAACGTCCGATTTTAGCCAATCGCAAATGAGTTCTTTTCCATCATGACAACGCCAGGCCACATGTTGCAAAACCGACCATGGCCAAACTGAAGGAGATGAATTGGGAAGTGATGCCGCATCCCCCATATTCACCCGACATTGCACCTTCTGATTATCATTTGTTTCGATCGCTGCAGAGCAATTTGAATGGAAAAAAATTTAAAAATGTGGAAGACGTCAAAAACCACCTTGACACCTTTTCCAACGATAAACCGCGCGATTTCTATGAATCAGGCATCCGTAAATTGGTTGAACGTTGGAAGTGGATTGCCGAACATGATGGCGAATGCATAATTGATTAATAAAAACGCTTTCTTCAAAAAATTTCAATTTTAGTTTGCACTTGAAATCGGGTACGAACTTATGCACTCATCATATACATGAATTTAAGAAAATAGTTAAATTAAAAAATCTGCTTTGAGAAAAATTAGTGACTTTAAAATACATATAAGTACTGCCCGCAAAACTATTCATTAATACATTTTTGCGCGTATAATTTATTAATTAAAAATAAACTAAAGCTTCAAAGTTCTTTTTTCTCGTATTTGACCATTTTTTCTTTACCAACTTCAATTTTTGTAGACAAATAATAGTGCTGTTGTTGTTATTGCGTTAGTGGGCATTTTCAGCTTTAATAAATTCTTCAATGTCAAAATTCGTTCTCACTCACTCGCCGACGCTGAAGCTACCACAACTGCTGCTACAGCAGCGGTGGTACGCAGCAGAGCGCCACTTTCACGCTTATGCATCACGACGCAGATCGTAACCCTTTGTTGGAGTTCAATTATTAAGTCTTTAACACGTTGAAAAATAGTTGCTTTTTTTGGTAAATCGCTTTTTTCACGCTGCTGGGCAGCACTTTAATTAGCAACCAACACCGTTAAATAAGCGGAGTATGCAGGAAAATGAGACATCGTTCAAAATTAATTTACAGAAAAAGAACAAGAACAAAGAATTGTCTCCATCCATGCCTAAGTATTTATATCTTTATTGTATCAAAAACTGAGGGATTGGCTTTCGTAGCATTGGACGAACAGACGGGGTCCATCTTTTCTCCTTCTGGTACTTACATACTTCGGACCAAAGTTAATATACCACTACGTGGAAATACTTGAAAGGCATAATCAACGTTACATTAAATTCTTAAGGAAGAGGTATATGTGGCTGGACGCTGACCTAGCATCCGTTCTTGCTTTACTTCCACTGAAAGGGTTGTTAGGAAGAGAAGTTGGAGTCAACGATTTCTCTCTCTGCAAATGGGAAAAGCCAAATGAACATGTTATGAGTTTTAAACTCACTCTGTTCAAAGCGGATCTCTGACGGTAATTCTGGAACTATATATTATGAAAAGGGCTTTTCATAAAAATTTATCAGATGATCGCAACTGATCACATCCAACCGACCGAGTCAAAGCAATACACCAAGCCCCTGATCAAAGCATCCGAAACCATTTTGATACTGTTGTAATATGAGGTATCAGTGTTCACCTTGCATCAACGCCAAGCACACTTAAGGAAGAGTTAACACGTTAAAGAAAATAAAGCTTTTAGAGGGAAAGAAGAAGTAGGGAAATGTTGAAAGAAATACCAACTAACGACGGTTTCAAAGCTTGGCCTTACCCTGTAGATTTTTTCATTTTAAATTTAAAAAATATATATATTAGCAGACATATGTACAAATCAATTATATTTATATACATTATATATAAATTATAAATATTGTAAATCAAATAAATATATAATTCCACTAATCAGTGTGTTATTGTATTTTTTTACTTCTCCATATGAACTTTAGCTCAAAATGATACAAAAATAGAAAATAAATATGCTAAAGTAACAAGAGATTTTTGATGAGTGGAAAGAGTTTACGAATTAGAATAATATCTGCGCATTAAGCAACCTTAACTGATACATATGTATGTATGTACATATGTATGATAAGCAGAATCGAAAATTTCACTTTCCTATACTTTCTCCATAAATGTAATTTGAAATTAATACTTTCTACTGAATTCAAATATGGGATGAGGAAATTCAAATAGTGGAGTTCAGAAGAAAGTGTGAGTCAAATTAAATTATTACTGAATTTTAGTTCATAACTAAGCTCGTTGTTGTATATGCGTATACTTATATGCAGCTGGTAGCAATGTTGTGCGACAACCACTAATTTTAAGATTTTAGACTTTTTCATTTCCACCACAGCTGAACATATTTTTCATCTTCATATGAACTTTATTTCTTTGCGTACATCAGCAAATGTGAAAATATACCGCCCACAGTCCATCATTTTGGCAGCTAATTTTGGACAGTTGTGTAATTAATGACACCTATAATAATAACGAGGGCAGGTCTGAAAATTCATGAACAATATATCTTTTACTTTATTTGGCCCAACAAACTCTTGAGCCTCCGTTCGTACATAAAAGTAATATAAATATACATAATCTATATTTTATGTAAATTTTTTGTGGACTTAATAGATTTCACCAAAGTAAGTAAGTAAGATTCAAATATACACACATACGCGTACGCGCTCCCATTCACACAGTATGTAATCTTGAACTTCTGAACGAGATTTCTGTCTGTATATAATATTATTTCGCTTCCACATTTTGTTAACCCTTTTATGAACTGTGTGACGTTTAAGTCCAAAAATATGTTTACATAAAATAAAATTATAAGTAGATAAAGCAGAGTAAATAAATTTAATTAAAAATATAATAAGAATAAATTAATTCAAAAACAATTAAAACAGAGTAAAATAATTTCTTTGTAAATAGAGTAAAAACGAACAGAATGAGAATAGCTAAATTAAATATGTATATGCTTAACTAAACACAACAAAATAAGATACTCCGATGAAAAAATAAATAATAAAGTTGAACAAATAATTTATATTAATTAATAAACAAATTAATATAAATTAAAGTCAAACTTATTTAAATCAAACAAAGGAAAATTTAAAAATAAAATATTATATGATATAAAATTTAATAAAAAAATAATACTAAATAAAATTAAAATAACATTAAAATATTAAAAAAAATGATTAAAAAAGTCAAATTGTTTTAAAATAAAGTAAAAAAGTAATATAAAATGAAAGAAATTAAATATTTAATATAAATTAAAAAAAATTAAAAGTGAATATATAAATAAATAAAATTTGAAAAATAGAAAAGAATAATATTAAAATTAAATAAAATGAAATAAGATAAAAGACAATAAAATAAACGAAAACGAAGTAAAATAAATGTATTAAAAAACGATAAAATAAAAAAAAATAAAATTAAATTAAAATAAAATAAAATAAAATAAAATAAAATAAAATAAAATAAAATAAAATAAAATAAAATAAAATAAAATAAAATAAAATAAAATAAAATAAAGTAAATAAAATAAAGAAATGCTTAAATCAACTCAACTCGTCATTCTGGTCCGTTGGTATAAAGCAATATGAGTCGGTTATAGACAGAGCAGTTAAAAAGGTAAGAAACTGACAAAGCACATGCATCAGAGCAAAATTTACAGCTCTGAAACGAAAAGACCCCTCTGAGTCTTCCATACTAAACAATGATACATACATCATTGCGCATTGACAGCGCCGAATACCGTAAACGGTGGAGATCTACGGCAACGTTGAAATAGGAAGGCAAATAAGGTCAAATTCAAAAGAAACCTTCTCTCTTGTTATACGAAGGAGTAAAGGAGCTCCATCTGTGAAAGTTTTCGACAGAGTAGCCACTGTTGGAGACGCAACTAAGCTAAAAAGTCGGGAGCAGAAGAACATGGCCTAACATCGAATACGCGAAGACGTGCTGTTTTTGACAAAGATATAATCGTGTATACGGTGGCCTCGCGAGAAAAGGAGGATACTTATAGTTACACCGGACACCATTAGTTAATTTATTTTTAATTTAAAAGAGTCTTTATTGTAACCTCTTTTGATCAAGTTTGCTTAAGTTTATTGTAAGCGTAGTGCATTACTTAGAGATGCCGGGTACTTATAAGGATCAATTCGCTTGGTAGCGAATAGCATACCAATACCTTCCCCATAAGGGAGTATTTGCTTGTGTGTGCCTTCCTGGCTAGTTTATATGCATTACAGTTTATCCCTTTATTCAGCGCAAGTGAAGCTAAATCTGTTTAGCTTGGACGTTTTGGGGTTTTTGGAGAATATCTTTCAGCTCCATCTCTTCTTTTATAACCTTAGACAGCTCAGACCAGCTCTAACAAACGCTTTGGCACCCCACCAACAAACCTTACAATCAAACTATGATAAGCATTCCCCATTGTTAGTAGGTCATTTTCCATTTAAGCCATTGAACACTTCACGCAGAATAACCGTACGGAAGAAAACAAAGTACCTGCCTACCCACTCCAAAGTTCTCTGCCATGAAGTATAATTAAGGCGCTGTAAACAAGCAGCGAACATGAGAACGCAGCCAAAGCCGCGAGCACGCCGCCAGCGGCGTTCGCATCACCGGTCGTCGTTGGCCATGTAAAGTAACTTTGTGACGGCGAAATTGCGCTGACAGCATGCACAACAACAACACTGTTGAGCGTCAGATAAAAAGCTCATGTTGATGCGAGCGTTCGACCAGTTGGTGAAAAGTTGTGATTGTCAAAAGAAGTGTTAGACATTGTTTTGGTATTAAGATTAATCTTCTAGATTTATAGTCAACTGAGAAAGAAGTAGAAGCAGCAAAACGGAGTTTTTGAATAAAAAGTGAAACGAGTACACATAAAACTGTGAAAGGGGAAAGAAAGGCAGTTGGTTGTGATTGTGTTGAAGCACCAGTTTCGAGGATAGCTTAAGCCAGCTTGAGCGTCAGACGCAATAATCATGAACTTTAAACACACACTTTTGGCCTTAACGGCGCTGCTACTCGCTGTGAGCGCCATGGCAGCTGACACCAAAATGGAGGATAAAATGGAAGATACTACCGAATCTCCTGTTGTTGACTTTGCGGTGATAGGTGAGTAATTATTAGTTTAAATGAAGCTCCAACAACATTGTAAATATGCAATTGCTCTAGAGCCCGCACCCAAAACCTCAACTGAACGTCCACCCACCGCTGCCACAACAGCACAAAAGGCATCGCCATCGGTAAAAAGCGGGCAACCACAAGTGGCGCAACCCCACACGGTCGCTGACTTTATTATTCACCCACTGATCGCATTCAAGCCACGCGCGCCTGAAGAAGATATCGCAGGGAAACAAGCCGGCGACTCTTCCTCTACAACGCCTTCTCCTTGGACGCTATTTGGTTTCAATGCCGGTCAGGGCTTGGGCTCATCAGTCTCCAACTCAGTGTCTAATCTTGCTGGCTCCGTTAGTGGTTGGTTGACCGATCGCATTCAGCTGCCAGGTTTAGTGGATTCGCCAGTGCGAGAGTCGACCACCACCAGCACAACAACGACGACCACCACAACACAACGGCCGGATGTGGTAGTACGCGTGCAACATAAAGCCTCCACTCGTCGTCCACTGATTTCAATCACAAATGAGAATCGTCCACAACGCTTCCACAATAACAACCTTAATTTTGTGTCCGATGAAGAAGATGATGATGACGATGTCGATGAAGAGTTCGAAGAAGAGGAAGTTAACAAGAAGAAGAACAAGCGCAGAAACAACAAAAATAAGCAAAACAAACGCAAGCCGAATGTGGAAGAGGAAAATGTCGATGAGGAGGAAGAAGAAGCTACACGCCCAGTACGTCGCCCACAACAGAAGCGCCCACAACAGCAGCGTCGCCGTCGCCCTGTTATAGTGGATGATTTCTCCGATGAAGAAGAATACGATGATGATTCACAGGAAAGTAACGATGAAGACGAACCCGAGGATGATGACACCGTCGACGATGAAGACGATTTAGAAGAAGACAATGTTCAACTTCCTAACATACGTCGCCAACAAAACAATATCAATCGCCGTCGTCAGCAACCGCAGCGCCGACGCCTGTATGCAGGTCAAAACTTCGCTGTGCGTCGCGTTCAAAAGCCCAATAAAAGCGACGAAGTGGAAGATGACGACGAGGATTTTTACTATCGCCCATCCACCAAACGCTCCCAAAATGAGGCGAATTTTTTTCAGCGTGGCCAAGAAAACATTATAAATCAGCTGCGACAACTAACAGGCGGTCGTACTCCCGCTCAGATTGGCAACTTGGTACGAAAATCCACGAAACAATCGGCTAACACCAAGCCAAAGCAACGACAACAAACGACACTTTTCGTCAATCGTAATGGACAGACTGTCTACTTGGCGCCTGAGCTTCTAAACGCCGATCTTCCATTTGTTAATCCACAAGTGCACTATCTGAAACCAGACGGTGCACAAGCTCCATCCAAGCGTAAGAATGCACCCACCCAATACATCACCATTCCCTGGTCACAATTGGGCATTTCACCACCGGATCAATTGCACGCTATCACCGAAGGTGTGCAAACCCAGCCTCTCATACTCAACATACCAGCCAGCGCTATTAAGACACTACAAAGTCAAAACGGCAAACGCAAAAAGCAACCGGTCATCACCGCCGAAGCAGTACCACTCTTAGCTGAAGCCTCCATAATGGATGTTTTCAAGCCACCCAAGATACCACACGACCGTCACACCTCCGAGGAGGCTACACCAAAGCCCAGCAACACCGGCATGCCCGTTATAATTGCGTCTAAGACAAAGCCAAGTAACGGCAATACAGTAACTATTCTACCACAACGCATACGTCCCGGCACAATCGTTGAGAAGGCACCCACTAGCGCAGATAGTCCCCAAGAAGCTTCCGAAGAGATGACTGCACCTGAGTCAGTGCGTAACGTCGAAAGTGAATACATACTCGTCGGTGAGGACAACGAACAGGGTCTGACACGACAAGTGAAGCCAGTTTACGGTGAGGGGCGGTATGTTTATGGCGGTAAAAGCTCACCCTACCTAGAGTTATTGCAACATCACGGTGGCTATGCTGTCCGCAGAACGGGACGTGAGCTTGAAATACCAGCACAGGAAACAAGCAACAATGAGCAGTCAACCAAAGGAGAGCAATTAATACCTGTACAAATTATTAACGAACTCTCGGAGGAGACCAAACTGCATAGCGATGAGAAGAAAGAAGCTGTAGTAACTCAAGAAAAACCACAGTCTGAGCCAGAGAGCACACAGAGTGAAGCTCAAGTAGAAGCACAGGAATTACAACAGCAGACGCTAGGTGGCGCGCTGCCTTTGGATGTGCCTCTAGAGGAGAACAAGGCCAATGAGCCAGTAATGATTGCGTAAGGGTTTTGGGTCTTAGTCGAAAGACTAAAATAACTGGGAATTTTAGTAATTTAAGCTTACCGCATAATTTTTTATTTAATTTATATACAAATAAGGCGCGAAAACGAGGACGAATAAAATATTTAACAATAAAAATAAAAAAAAAATGAGTTTAATGTATTTGGCGGTTTTTTCTTAGGGTTTAAAAAAATTAAATTTTTTTGTCTCGAAAATTGCACTGGGGGAAAGTTTACAATTAAAAGTTATTGTGCTGTGGATAAAGTTATTTAACATAGTGAGAAAATTAAAGCAGTTTAAGTGAAAAGTTTGCAAGAAAAAGGCTTCTTTTTTAAGCTCTAAATTTGCAGTTCTTTACTTATAAAAAATATTTCTTAAAAATTTTAACAAAAATGGTTTTGGTCAAGCTCAGCTCTTTCTTAAAGAAATTTGCTTATTTATTTTTTTTTTTTTTAATATGAGTTAAAGAAAATTTATTTTTTTATATTATTATTAAATTAAAAAAAAATTAATAGCAAATTGTTTTTTATATTAAAATGATTTTATGCATTATTGCTTTATAATAAAAAAAAATTACCACAAAAAAATTAAAATTTTTTTATTATTTTAAATAATTCAATAATTTTGAAGAAATAAACAATTTTTTTTATTAAAAATTATATGTAAAAGTAATGTCAAAAATGCGAAAAAATGCACTAAACCTTTTTCTCAAATATAAAAATATAAATCTAATTCAATACTTAAATTATTAAAAAAAAAATTAGATTTTTGTACATAACGTTTTAGTTTTTTATTTATCTGACCATATATTCTTAAAAAAAAAAAGAAAAAAAAAAACAATTTAATAAAAATCCTGTTTGTTTAACCTACTAACCCCATTCGAGCTCATTTCTATCAAAAGAAGACCAAAGAAGCAAATATCTATACTTAAAAGAATACACAAAAAATATGTAGATTTTTGTAAAAAAAAAAATTAAAAATTTTACTAAATTAAATACATTTTGTATTTGTTGCCAACTTACTAACGCTACGCCGCTTATTTTGGCCAACCAACGCAGCTTGAAACTGAATAATTAATTTGATACAAATTCACCGGTCAACGATGCTCGCAAGCGGTAATCATCACAATAACACCATCATCATCAACAACAAGCTTTCTAGCGGCGCCCAATAATCTTCTGTTTTTTTAACGTTATTTATGCACATACATATTTATATAGTTAAATGGTTATTTGAAAAAAAAGATCTCTTCAAATTTTGCATAGGTTAAATGAGTTCAAGCTACGGGTCTGGTCTGCCACCAACCACTTATGGCTTTTTTTTTTTTTTTTTTTTTTTGAATTTGACACGCTTTAGCCTAACCTGTTCAATATGAAAATAAGCTGCGAAAATACCGTTAGGCATTAGATGATCAGTAATATTTATGTTACAACTGCTGTGCTCATGCTAGAAGAGGACTCAATGGTGTTGGTTGCCAAAGAGTTATGCAGATTAGTGAAATTATAATGAGCTAAAACAACGAAGAAATACATATACACATTCGCATTTTTTAGCATTCTTCTCTAGTTTTTTAGTTATTCAAATGTCGACTGGCCAATTTCACTAAATTAATTGTAAAAAAGTTTCTCTAAACTAATTTGTTTTTGCTGGTTTCTTCGACTTTTATTAAGCTCCCTACATTTATCATAATTTGGAATAAAGCAAATTAGAAATTCTGCTGGAATCGAATTAAAAATTCTTTTGGAACCGCTTAAAGAATCTCACCAACACGTTGGGTCAGGTGCATAGCTAATCTTTAGTTATTATGATTGGCATTATATAAAGGTTATCGACATTTGATATAGCAATTTATTTTATGAATCAAACTTTGTATTTCTGCTCAAACTATTCGCGTATCTTACTTTTTATATATAAAGAAAAATAGGAAAGAATAATTGAGAAAAAAAAATCAAAAAAAAAAAAATAAATTATAATTTATGCATCGCAGAGCGCTCAGATGGCATTGTTTCTAAAAATTAATTCAACACGCATTTAGGGGATTTTCAATATATTTAATATCAACGATTTTTTTACTAAGGCGTTTTTAAGCCTCGTAAAAGCTATGCGGTCTCCACTTTAAGTTTGCCCTGTTGTTTTCTCAAAACATGCGAGGAGCCTGCAAAAGCAATTTTGAGGCATCCCCGATCAGCGAATGAGCTTTTTTTACGAAATTCACATTTTCTGCCGTTTTTTTTTCCTGATGCCTCGGTGAACTTTGCTCCAGAAAACAAAAAAAAAATAAATAGCCAGATAAATATTAAAAATATTGGTTCAGTAACCCATTATTTTCCTCAGTAAAGGCTTTCTATGTATTAAGAATCTATACACGAGGTGGTTAAACAGAACAGATTTTCACAGGATTGGGTACATAAAGGGAAACTTTGAGGCGAATGAACTTGCTAGGCGAGGTACGACCAAAAAACGACCAAGAACGCTTTGGCATACCTTTTGCTACATGCAGACGTCTTTTGAAGGAGTTTATATGTGAACAACCTGCCGCAAAACCAGGCACACATGGCCAAAATGGCATAAGAAGAGAACACGAGATATGTACTCTTTGAAAAATGGTGACATGTCTAAAGTAATAGGAGTTCGGACAGACTACTTTCTGATAAGATAACACGCGGAAAGACTAGGTACTCCCTACCGAAAATTTTGCAGAAGCTGTTAGAAGGATAAAGAGAAGGAAACAATTACCCATCTCTTCTGTGACTGCTCTGCTTTGAGCAGGGCGGAGTTTCGTAATTTTGGTACCCTGCTGAAGATAGCTGACGTCAAAGTCATAGATCTAATGAAGCACATTAGAGAACCACAATGGGTGGATGCTGACACCAGATGGCTTAAATATTTGTGATATCAGAATGAGTGTTAGTCAGACCTAGGTGAATCCGACTCGATTGATCGGTAGCCACTGCGACTTAACCTGCTTAGCCTACCTCACCTATTTTGAACTATCCGATATCTGTTTAATATACACGGTTTCGCTTGATAAGATTATGCCGTTTTGAAGGTTATTTTATTATGCATCTCTTATGGTAACACATACCCTTTTTGGCCAAGTCTTCAGGCAATAAATTTTCACAGGTTTTTCTTGAGCCCAATCCTTCACAAACCAAATCATTCGCCTTAGACAGGTACGGATAGTAATCACTTGGAACGGACCACGAGGTCCAGACTATAAGGCGGATGCGTAAGAGCCTCCCAATCAAGCTCTCGGAGGTTCTGGCTCCGCTTCGGAAATGGCTTGATTTTATTACGATTTAGCGGCAATTTAGAAAAATTTAAATTTGGTTCTGCTCTATTTTGAATAATGAAAATGTCCAAATTTTAGCCAAAATTGAAAAAAAATCATTATTGAAAATTTGATCAAAATCTCTTGAAGATTTTAGAATTAGTGAATTAGAGGGAAGAAGAATACCACACATATTCATACAAACATATGTAGAGTTAACTGACTCACACAAATTGGCAATCGATATCAATTTCATTTCTTTTACTGAACTATCAAAATGATTTAATTAAAAATAATTATTTAAGTGGTAGCAATAATTCCTCCAAATTGGGTAAAATTCAAAATCAATGAATGAATTGCACATTTGTTTTACATACGAATTGATACATACGTGTATGTGGTCATATTTTGAAATTTACTCTGCAGTTGACTAATAAACATATATATATATATGTTATGTTTGTATAGACGTTGACCATATGGTAAAGGTGTATACAAATAAAAACACCCAGCAGCAGTTCGATGAACTATCACTTTGATGAAGTGGAGAAAAAAATGGAATAATTAATTTTACCAGGAATGCCTCTCGAACAGTTTGAGCATAAGTGGACATTTTTTTATATGTGTTTAAAACTGACGAAATATTTATATACAAATAAAAAATACAAAAAACCTACTAGTTAAATTCTGGTTAATTAAAAGTAGTTAAGGGAAAAGATGTAAGAATATTTTGAAATTTCGTTATTAAAATATAAATAAAAAATTTCCAGAGCTCAATCTACAATATGTCTCTTTAACAGAGATGCTCAGCCAACGAAACGATGCCATTTCGGTTTATTAATATAAAAAATAAACTTATTTAAATAATTTCGCTTCGTTTCGGCACCGTGTCATCGATACATAATAAAACTGTTAACGTTTCAACCGCATAAACTCAATTTTAACATTAAATTCAAAAGGGCTGCTTTTTACAGTATTACCAGCGCATTTACATGTAAACGCTTAACATTCTCTGTTAACGATTTAACATTACAGGGATATAAAATTTAGGCTGATAATCGCTTTACGGATTAACAAATGTTATAATATTTCAAACGAAAGATTTTAATTTTTTGATTTACTTCAAACTAATTGTTACGATGTATCCTTGCTATTAAGTCTTCTGACGCCATATTCTCTTCTTCGTACCACTAAATTTATAAAAAGAAATCACACTTTTCTAGAATGCAATTTCCAAATGCGGGCTTTTTTTGTGCCATTTGTACAATATGACAAAATCAACCGTGTACTGAGGCACTGTTATTGGCATTTTTGCATATAAAATGAATAGAAAACACGAGTCTTCATTGGAGCAAAGAAGAGAAAAAATAAAAACAAAAACATTAGACTTAAATTCAAAAGAGAAATTAACTTTCGTAGATATTTTACTTAGCAGATACTAAACAGCATTAACACACACTTCAACGTACATGTGAGTTTCTTAATCACCAAAATTTCTACGTTGACACGAATAGTAAGCAGGAAGTTTTGGCGAAAATACCACAAACAAAACTCAACAAAAAGAAACTTTCTGCGAAAGCTAACCTGTTTGATTAGAGAATTTCTTAATTCATGGGAATAAATTATTTTAATTAAAATTTGAATGTAACTACTTGGCAAGGAATATCAAAATTCTTTGACTTCTGGCTGTAATTATATGGAAAATATTACAATTGTGAGAATATAATGATAT